GTACACGGCGCTCGCAGACATCTTGAACTTATTTACACGAGCCCAGCTAAGCTCGTTATCAGTTGATAATGTTGGCGAAAACTAGTTCAGTGCTAAAAATCAAAGAACAGACTTCCATTCATAATACTGAAAAGAAGAACACAACCCTTCCCCTTTTCTTAACACTCTACATTCGCAAGGAGCGCCCCCTGTGGAATAGGAGGGAGCACTACAAGTCTCTGGCATCCTTTTTTTTTTTAAAACAAAAAACGTTTTATGGTTAAGTCAGTAAGACAGGAACTTAATTTAAAGCATTATTAAATAATCTATATGGTAACAAGAACAACAACAATAATAAAATAATAATAATAATAATAATAATGACCTTTAAAAACAGGGCTTATGCTTAATGATCTCACCCTTTTAAAATAATTATTAGTCTTTGAGGTAACCAAACAGCCTGCATATAAGCTGGAGTCATGATGGAGTGTAAACCAGTCTGGTGTGTAATCATGCCACTGATCATGCCACCTAATGTCATTGTTGTCATGTTCACATCCATGATAGAAACTGCTGCTCATGTCTTATCTCACTTTTGCTGACATGCTGTGAGATTCTTGATAGAATCTGAGAACACAACAAAAAGATCCGGAAGATTGAAACTGGCAAAGATGGCTAAATGCTGATTAGACATTTCCATGCAAACATGCCAGTATAAACATCTTAGCAATCTCATAGTTTCTGGTTTGTGTTATCCTGTATGCTGACACCAACTTTGCTTTAGTATTGTAGCTCCATCTTCTGGATTGATGTGTCACACATGTTTTACGATACACAATGATCACCACAAGATAGCACCGTTTTCAACTGTTTTAGTGTCCAACAGAATAAAGTGCAGCAGTGGGTCTTAATTAAATATGACAGCATCAAACAATTCAACATTTGATATATAATAAAATACATGTTTTCATATTTATTACTAGTAAGTTAACTTGTCGATTACTTTGAATAGTTTAGATTTTAGGGGTGCACTGGTCAACACTGTCATCTCACAGCTTCAAGTCTCCTGGTTATTCTGGGTCTTTCTGTGTGGAGGTTCCATATTCTACATTTGCAAAGACATGCATGTGAAGTTAGCTGGTGATTTTAAACTAGCTGCAGTTGTGAAGGTGACAGTTGGCAGTTGTCTGTGTCAGGCCTGTAATGGAGCGGCATAGGCTCCAGGCCTAAGAGGTTTCAGTTTAATTTCAGGCACTTGTGTTGGAAGGTGAATGATTTGCATTTCTGCTTAATTTCAAAGATCTGATGATGTCAAAATAGGAGTCAATACATGACACAACAAAAAGCTTTTATTTATAAACCATGGCTTTGTGCATATGGTGCCTTTAGGGTCACTTTAAACCACACCAACTGTAAATTATAAACTGTAAATTCTAATTGTAACTCTCAAGCGTATATTTATGTATTTTCTTCTAATTTTATATATCTATGTATTAGCTTGCTTTGCACTGATGTAACCGGAGCCTCGTCGTCTCATTTCTCTGTATGCTGCACTGTATATAGCAGAGATTACAATAAAGTTTACTTTGACTTTGACTTGACTCATACCTTACTGTAGGGTGCAATCAGTGTTTACTATTTCTATGTGGATATTTGTCCATTTGACCATCTTCTGGAACTTCTCAAAAGCTTTTCTGTCTTGGTTGGCTGATCTAATTAAATTACTGTATTGGTAAATACTCGGATAACTGAAGTTGAGCTTTTCATTCAAGTGATTTATTTCTGTGCAAATCTTTACAGCCAGAAACTGATTTGAGCCGATCTTAAGTCTAGTCCCCTTAATGCAAATGATAATCCCACTAAATGATGGTGTGCAAAATATAAATGGCATCCAAGCAACAAACTCTGACTTCCTCAGAGGTGAAACACAAGGAGAAGTCCTGCTGTTTAATATACAAAAAATATAATGCTTATTAATGTGTCAGTGTGTCAAATTACACAAAGCTACTGCAGTGATATTGGAAGCATTACAGGCTTAGTATTAAGATAACAGAAGCCTGAGAGCTTGTTCAAGTGTGCTAACCCAAACAAACACACTTGGCTAAATTTGCATTCCCAACTAATAGAGGTAGCTGAAGAGAGGACAATACAAAAATGCATTGTGGGTGAAAATAAAGCTGTACACAGTCCCACTTTCTACTGGTTTTGCACCTCTGCCTTTGGTATGAAAAGAATCTCAGCTGTGGGTTTGAGCAGCCCGACTGTCATCCTAATGCAAATGATCATCGTACTAATTACAACAGCTGATGTGAAAGGATGAAATGGCATCCCAGCAACAAATACTGACATCATCAGAGGTTAAAACACCCATGAAACACAAGTAGAAGTCCTGCTGTTTCGTATCATCTAAAAATATAATGCTTATTACTGTGTCGGTTTATAATGCACAAACCTACTGCAGTGATTAGGGAGTATTACACGTTTATTATTAAATAAAACTAAATCCAGGATCCTGCTTCAGTGCACGACTCCAAACAGCTGGTGTTTGTTCTTCTTTTTTAATTGATTTTTAGCACCCAGTCTTGGAGTGACTCTTTCAGCTGTGGGCTTGCGTACGAACACTGCACCCTGTCACGGTGACAAATCTCTCATCCCTTGGCTGGAGCGATGGAGTCTACACATTGTCAGAAGTCACAGATACAACTGGACTGGACTGAGTTACACAGCCAAATATAACAGACTGCTGCTTCCCTCAACCACTTCCATACTTTCTACGTGCTGTTTGTGTCTCGTTTATAGACATGTTTGTACAGAACCCTCATAGATCAAGAGAGCTGATATGTTTACTCTGGCTGACAAATCGGTTTGTCTCACTCTGAGTCAATGCATCACCCAGGTGTTACATTTGATTGTACAGGTATTCCCACCGTAAATCCTTTGAGTAGTATATGTTCTTTATTGTGTCATCAAACAGAGTACATAAACCACAACTGCTTTTGTAAGTAAAATGAGTCCACCTTTATGACAAATCCATGACATCAGCCATTTAAGACTTCTAAAAGAGTGCTAGTTTGTGTCCTTTGTGGTACTGCTCATGTAAACTCTAATCTGTTCCACCATTCCCATAGCTTTGTGATTTATACTTAGCAGGACTTTGACTCTACTCCCAAGGCGATACTGTGGCTTTTGGGGGAGTTTTTACCATACAAGGAGAAGAGGAGTTTAGCTGGGTTTCCTGTGGGAGGGTTCTGATTTCTCTCACTCCACTTCTGATTCTCTCTCTCTCTCTCTCTCTGATATCTCCTGTCCTATCTCTTTCTGTTCCCCTGCACAGGTTCTGCTCCAAACCTGCTTTCTCATCACAAGAAAGCGTGAACAGCGTCCTGAATATCATTTAGTGAAAGATCTTCCAAATTCCCCGATTGCAAACGTGAATGCAATTGTGTAACCATAACACTTTGTGCAACTGGCATTCTGACACACCAAATAAGGTGCACAGTCGCTACCAACACTGAATGTAATGATGTAAGCTTGTGTTAACTCCAGGATCTTGAAGCTATCAAACTACCACCACGTTTGTAAACCTCTGCCTAAAAAGGCTCCTGCGTGCTCACATCCTGCTGGTCTCTTACTCAGAACGCAAAGAAAAGATTGATATTCCTACAACCCTATTCCATCAACTTTCCTCAACGTTACCCTGGAAAAGCCGAAAAGGCCAACTCAAAACTAAAAGAAAGAAAAACAAACACAGCAGACAGTTTTTTGTTTGACAGATTTCTTCATCCAGTCTTAACCAGCTCTAACTTCAGCTTTGTGATCACACCTTTTTTTGGTTCATGTGGGCCCAAAATTACTGAACACACAAAGGAGCTCTGTTCCTTCAGCATACCTGGAATAATGTACATTCTGGTAACACACGGCTTTCCCCAGACAGCAATTCTCCTCAAACTCAGATGGCCTGAAACACAGACTCTCAGGTTTATACAATGCTGTCTTTACCAGAGCTTGGCCAAAATAGTGTCTGTATAAAGACTAATAACAACCAAGATGATACATGCTGCAGCTGCGTCAGTGCAACGTGAACAACAAGAGATGCATTAGTCCAAGTTTATCTTGAGATGTCACTTAAATGGCCACGGCAAGACGCACCGTTCTTCGAGTTTGTGTGTAATCTTTATTTTTAGACAGGGCAGCTGGCACAGAAGGGCTGAAAGAAAGCAGACAGGCTTATATGCGCCTCCCAGTTACTAAAGCCATATCCATGTTTTCTTTTGTTTTTCTTTGCCTTTCCTGGGGAGTTTTTAATTTTTCACTTAATAATCTACAAATAATGTGCAATTAAGTAAAAACAAAAACAAAACATGTCTTTTAAAGATCTCATAAGTGCATAAGTGCACCAAATTCCTGGAATCCGTCTTGAGTTATAGCTCCCAGTCAACTTTTTTATTTAGTGCGCCTTACAAATTGGAGAAAACAGATCTAAGTACAGATCTGTCAAACCAATAGTAATTAAGAGGATCTTAATTGCACTGGACCTGTGGTTTATGTCTGTGTATCCTGACTGCAATGCTGTGGCTGCCTGGCGTGGATCACATGCAGACAGCTCTTTCCCCCAAATTTTCTTTGGCTGGATCATTTTCCATACAGCCCTTTTTCATTCAGCGCTAGAATGAAAACTATGTCCCTTTCTAACCAACTCTGGTATTAACATCAATTTGAACATTCCTAAGTAAGAACACAGGCATATAGATAGACCAAAGAGAGGCGAGAAGCCACAAAAATTATTAATGTGAACAATTTCCCTTTTGAAGTTTGTGAGTTCTTGGTCATTCTCCTGCTTTTTATCTGCGTAAAAATCCAAACAAGGACATAGGCTGGTCAATGCTGAAATGGCTACACCATGCTGTCCCTCCAAAGAGCATTTGAGAGCTGAAGTTTAGATTAGGGATGGGGTGGGGGCAACAGTAAGTTCTAGAGGAGCCAAAGTGGGGAGTGGCGAAAGGGGTAACCGGTGGGAAAGGGCTGTCACTGGGGACTAGGGCTGTCTCCAAACCTCCTGTCAAGTTTAAATCACATACAGCTCCACCGACTCTCAGTCTGCATCCTCCTCTCCTGTGCTCGCTCGCTCCGAGCTCCCTCCTCTCTGCATCTGCCAGTTGCGCTCCCTGTCAACCTTGTGAGGGCTCCTGTGAGGCGTCTTCCTCTGAACATCTGCAGCAGCTTTTCCCCGTAACGAACTACAAAACTTCATTTTCTAAAGATCTCAAGACGCTGACACCCAACAGTCACCATGGAGGCCATCAAGAAGAAGATGCAGATGCTGAAGCTGGACAAGGAGAACGCCATCGACAGGGCGGAACAGGCCGAGACCGACAAGAAGGAGGCGGAAGATAAAAGCAAGCAGGTGACGCGTGGCTCATGAGTTTAATGTTTAATACAGGAATATTAAAATGTCACAGCATATTTACAACAAATAAAGTAAATGCATCACACATGCATAAAATAATTTTAATAATTACTTTTTCCAAAATATGGGGAATCTTCTTTGTCAAAAATGTGGACATTTTCAATATCAGGATTATATATCTAAATGTATCTGTGAAGTTACTCATACCAGTTGAATTACAACATCATTATGTCATTGTGTTGTTGTTTTTTCACTTTTTCTATAATAGTTTTTTTTATAGTTTTTGATTTATTTTTATTGCTAAAGTTCAGTCATAATCTCAAATACTAAATAAGAACACCAAAGCACAATTTACAGATTGCTGATATATTTCTCAGCAGGACTAAATGCTGAATCACAGGATCAGTTGATACTGAGCTCCTTGTTCTGCAGTAGGAGACGGTGGAGGATATCCACAGAGATGGCTGTGACAAGAGCTAGGCTTATTATCCGAACTGAATCAAAGGAAAAGCTGCCAGGTTAAAACAAACCTATAGAATATCACGGTCTGACTCTGGCAGCATCCTTATCAGAAGTGAAGTTTGTATAATATAAAACCTCATAAATTTCTGTGCCCCCATATTTGGCGCCGCAGAGCTCAAGCCACAGACAGGATGATGTGTCCCAGCCAAACTTAATGACAGTGTACTTTAATTTCATACAAACAAAATAGAATCTGGAGATGCAACAGGATATCTGAGGTTTCTAAATAGAGGCAATTATCACACAGTGGGAGATGGTGTCCTCATTAACGTGGTATGAAAGGAATGTTAGAGAGCAGCAAGTTAGAGAGACTCGGACAAAGCCAGGATGAAGGATCGAGCAAGTGGAAAGTGTAAATATCCACTCTCTGGTAGCTAATGCCATAACAACTCCCTCAGAGAGCACAGGGAGCATCAGTTGTCACTGGCACTGCACATATGGACCCTCAGCATGTCTTCAGGAGCAAAGAACAGTCAGCATGAAATCCTAGAAGATTATGCAGAGCTCTTTAGTTTGTTGGGATGGCTGCAGCTCAAATAGTGCTAAGAGATGCTTTCTTTGCTATTCTTGGCATGACGAGTAGACTTTCAGAGTGCAGTTAGGCTGACGAAAGGCACTGAAAATACACAAAACTGCATGCAAAATTAACATCTATTACACACAACATCAGGCACAGACTCCGGCGGCAATTAAAGGATTGGGCCACCCAGACTCTGCAGCTATGTGTCTTTTCAGAAGGAACGTCCTAGTTACCTCACATAATCTACAGGCTTCATGGTGAATGTTTGACTCTGGAGCTTTTTAAGTGGAAAGAATAACCCTGATTAAAATAACAGCACGCATGTATTTGTTGAGAGGAGCTAGCTGTAGTCCAAAATCATGCACCCACTACGTATTTTCACCTCCTTATCTTCAAGTGAAATTCATCTTTCTGAAATACATCAGGATTATCCCAAAATAGCATTTAAGTGATCTGTAAAAGATCTATCGCCCACTACTGCTTTCTGTCATATACCAGAATTTCATCATACTCACTTTAACTGAACAAAAATCTATATTTGATTCCTGACTTTCTCTCACATCTGCCTTTTCTCAGCTGGAGGATGAGCTGCTCGCTCTGCAGAAGAAACTGAAGGGAACAGAAGATGAACTGGACAAGTACTCCGAGGCCCTGAAGGATGCTCAGGAGAAACTGGAACTGTCGGAGAAGAAGGCCACAGACGTGAGTTCACCACCAAGACGCCATCGGAAAGGCATTATTACAGTGGAACCCCACAGCTTTTAAAATATCAGTATCAAATACTTCATATGGACTGAAATAGATATCACTCTATGAGAGGGGAAAAGGGGACCAGTAACATGGACACACATTCCTCTCTGTCAAAGCTGGTTTAAACAAAATCATTGGCTAAAGTGCTTGACTCAGATGAAGAGTTGCCTCTTATGCTTACATAACCCAAAAAAGGAAATGTCTGGACTCGCCCAATAGTTTAGTGCAGCTCGGTTGTTTCTAAAGTGCAAAATATGAACGTGAAGTGATTAAATCACTGACGGTCATACATAAAATAATACATATTGAAATAGGATAGGAATAAAAGAAGACGTGAAAGGTTGTTACTTTAAAGAACTGCCTTGAGATTAAATTTTTAAAAAAAATCCACCCTAATGTAAACTAATAACCCAGAAATCCTGAAGTGATTATCTTGCATCTTCTAACCCAGACCGTGGAGATAATCACAGAGTTATTGGTGGTTCACTGAGGTCTGTAGCTGAGCTATTTCTCAAGCACAGACACAACTTGGCCAGCCTGTTACCGACCAAAGAATTTCAGGAATGCAGCCTAAGCAAACAGAGAACCCTGTACTGCAGTTTCTAATGAAATCAATGCTTTGGCCTTTTTTGGGGCTGAGACGTTATTCTCTCCTCAGTCTAGCCTTTACAGTAACATACCTAGGCAGTGTGCAATGCTGAATGACTGCCGACCTTTGGAGACCATCTACATTTATGTCATGTATTTATTGCTTAAACATATCCTTTCCAGGAAAATGATGGGAATCTAACTGGGGATTATGCCTTATCACAAACAAAATAAATCCGGACACAGACTTGACTTAGTTTGCTTTTGGGAGTGAATCGTGACCAATATAATAATATTGATCTGACACTGGGAATGAAAAGAGTGGTTTTGAAGGTGGCTCGTGGACATTCTCTTCCCTTCAAGTCTGTGAAGTTTTCAGGAGGATTTGGAAAGTGTTTCAGCTTCACAAAGCAGGTAAAAATCTGAGCTGAAGTAAGTGAGACGACCTCAAAGGTTAGAGGTGATAACAGGATTTTATTCCTCTGATGGTTTATCAGGTGGCCACAAATACTTTTTAGCTTCTTTCATACATATAAATGTAGTAAAAGAACGAAAACGTGAGGGGGAGGAAGAGTAGGAGGCAAATGGGGGCGATGAAGAAATGTGTCGCCACCCGATGGCTGCAGGTCATGTCTGCAACCAAATCAATTTACATTCCACGCCACTGCAGGTCAACAACCCCTAGTGAAAAGGATTATTACGGCCCCACCCCACCCTTGACCCCCCTCCTCCTCCACTAGAAGTAAATCTTTGGACTTTTGATTCCGGTCCTTTGATACAGTTTACAACCTGCTCGTCTCTCCTTCACCATCCCCCACTGACATTTACTTTCCTTCCTTTTCTCTCTCAGACAACCAAATCCAATCACACGATGATCCCTTAGACGTGATTCACGCTTTATCTAACAGCAGACAAATAACACAGTGCACTTCCTCTGCCTTCAGTCCGTGCAGTTGCAACACCTTCACTTTGCCATATAAGTCCACAATAGAAAACCCTGGCCCCACAAAAAAGTGACTTTACACACCTCCTTTGTGGAGGAAAAAAAACGTCCCACATTCCCCTCCTAAATCCTGTGATGTCATCCGAGACAGGCTTCTTCACATGATTGGAGGATCTCGTCATAAATTTCCTGAAAACTCCCAGCCCTTTTTTTCCGCCGTCCCAGCACCGCACCTCCCTGATTTCCTGCCCGAGAAAAGATTTCCACAGAGCCTGCAACTTTGAGGCGAATTCATAACTTAAGTGTATCGATTGCCGGTTCAGACGAATCCCCGTTTAACGAAACCAAACAGTCGGAATTATGGAAGCCGTGAAGAAGAAAATCCAAGCCCTCCAGCAGCAAGTTGATGAGGCAGAAGATCGCGCACTGGCAGTACAAAAGGAGCTGGAAACTGAACGGGAACTGCGCGAAAAAGTGAGATCAGTTTGCATTTAGTCCAACTTGAAGTGAACTTCTTTTACTTTTTGTCTTGATCTGTAATCCCAGCAAACCGGTTGAGCATCTTCACTGTAATCTGGGACTGAAGCGTTTACGCACTCCTGAGAGCTGGACTTGCAAAGTAGCGGTAATAATAACGCACCTAACGCGCGAAATAAAAACCGAAACCTCTGTATACAGATTACAGTAAAAAAAAAAAAAAATCTGTAGTTATTTTCTATACAGTCGTTACAGAGACAAGTTGAAACATCGCTGTGTCGACATTCCTCTGCAGACTTTTGTTCGGCTGTGTTATCTAACTCCAGCCCGCCCCATATATCTACCAAAACACCAAGAAATGCTGCAAGAGTCCCCGATGTTACATTAACTGTCAGTGTGGTTGTTTGACTGTAAAGGAAATGTTAAATTGAAGGTTTTTAAAGGGTACAATCTTACAGTTACACTTCTTGTCAATCATTCAAAACTTATTCTTTTTTTTTCTCCCTCCCTTCGCCCTTTGAGCTTTTTGATTGAATAACAGCTGACACACCGTCCATCTGAAAAGGTGCCCGGAATCCTCCTTCCTGTTCCTCTTGAGCCTCTGCACAGGAAGGAGAGAGCAGGCATGGTTATCTGCGCTATCAGTGCTGTGGGAAACAGGCTGAGGAAAAGAAAGCTGGTGTCCCCCAAACATGCTTTGGTTTACACTACAAAAGTGAAGACAGCTGTAAAATATCAGATGCCAGCATGTTTATTTTAAAAAAAAAAAAAAAGCTGTCACTGCGTTATCCTGTGTCAGCATATTAGTAAAGCAGTTAGCCAGGCTGCAAAGTCCACAACTCATCAAAGTCACTAAGGCTGAAAAAGAAAATGAAACGCAAGGACCTGATCTTGACATCTTCTTAAAGCCATGAATGAAGGGGGGGGGATTATAGTGTAGCTTCAAAATAGATGAATGGATAAGCAGTTTTCAGCATTGAGCGTAAGTGGTAACCTTCCTGTTTTGGCTGCATTCATGTTTCCTTCCTGGCCTCTGACCTGCGACCTCCCTATCTCTCTCAATCTGTGGCTACAGGCTGAGGGCGAAGTAGCATCGCTGAACCGCAGGATCCAGCTGGTGGAGGAGGAGTTGGACCGTGCTCAGGAGAGACTGGGCACAGCCCTGCAGAAGCTGGAGGAGGCCGAGAAGGCCGCAGATGAGAGCGAAAGGTGAAAATCAGCATAGATCTGTAGATTCAGATGTATTTGTTACTGCTGTGAGTCACTGTGTGTTTTAATGTTAAGTGAAAGTTCTGCACAGCCCACCGTCTTGAAGTTAACTATCACGAGCGTTTGCTGTTACCATGCAGATAGGCTTCAGCCTATTTCATGTGGCACAAAAAAAACTGAGCAAGCACACAAGTGAACTGGCTGAAATCACCCTCACTTGCTCATTTTCATTGGCTGGAAGTAGTGAGGGAAGCCTATTGGAATGTGTTGTTCATTCCCTCAGACTGGAAATAAAGTTTGCTTGACTTAAAAGGAAAAAAAAGAGTAAAATAAATGAAAGCAATACTTTGTAAAACTTTGTAAAGTTTGAAGTTTTCAAGGAAAAATCAAAAACAGCAATAGCACAAAAACTAGAGGCTTAAACAGAACAGTAAGGTAAATGGCCATTAAATGGCCCATGGCCCATCGGAATTGAAGCAGGAAGACTTGATAACAGAACTGTATACAGAGCCATACAAGTCACAGTGTGATACAAAGATAGAGAATCCCATTAGTGCAGTGAATAGATGCCATTGCCTGTCAGTGAAATTTGACAGGTAAAAAATAACTGTTGGAAATGCAAAGTTGGTGGTTACTGAGTTAAGTCAGCTTTTAGTGAGTCTCCCAGATAACCTCTGCAATGTCGAGTGTCTTTATGGTCTTGTTGGACTAAATGTTCGGCATCGTTTCCATCTTTAGAGGCATGAAGGTGATTGAGAACAGAGCCATGAAAGACGAGGAGAAGATGGAGATCCAGGAGATGCAGCTCAAAGAAGCCAAACACATTGCCGAGGAAGCCGACCGCAAATACGAGGAGGTATGAACGGACGGATTGTATTTATTTTTTTGTGAGATGTCGCTTCAGCCGATGTTCAACTGTGATTTCGTTCAGGTCGCTCGTAAACTAGTCATCCTCGAGGGTGAGCTGGAGAGGGCAGAAGAGAGGGCAGAAATTGCAGAACTGTAAGGAGAAATTCAGTGCAGTTATTCTCACCACAATATGTGAATTTTAAATATATTCTAAGCAAGTTATTGGAAAAAAACCCACATCTTTTCTTTCTTTCAGCAAGTGCGGTGACCTGGAAGAAGAGCTTAAGAATGTTACCAACAACCTCAAGTCTCTAGAGGCTCAGTCTGAGAAGGTAAGCTCACTATCATAAAACACCTTCACACATCCACACTCATCACTGTCACCCAATACAGCCACTCAACAGGATCGGCAGCACATTAAGTGCCTTTTTTTCGTGCTCACATTCACTATTTGCATCCTCATCTCGACTACCATCACCTAAAAAACAGGGGAAGTACCCTGGTCATCCTAAAATGGCACAAACAAAGTTGTTTGCTTTTCTTTGTCTGCATAGTACTCTGAGAAAGAAGACAAATACGAGGAGGAGATTAAAGTCCTGAATGACAGACTTAAAGAGGTAAATTCATTCCCTCTGCTTAAGCTGAACCTGTGTTTTCTGAGGTAAGCTTTGCATATATATTTCAATGTGTTTACTGTTTGAAAAAGGCGGAAACCCGTGCAGAATTCGCAGAAAGGACAGTGGCTAAGCTGGAAAAGACCATAGATGACTTAGAAGGTACGCTTTCTTTCAGCCCTCATGTTCTACCCTACACTCCTTCTTGTAATAAATCTTTAACTTTCTGCTCTGATTTCTCTCTTTTTCCAATTTCCCCTTCATGGCCTGCACACTTTTTCCTCTCAACCTCCTGTGTCCTGCTTACTCTGCCTTTTGACCTGCAGATGAACTGTACACTCAGAAGCTGAAATTCAAGGCTATCAGCGAGGAGCTGGATCATGCCCTCAATGATATGAACACCTTGTAAACCCTGCACTCTGCCGACTTTGCATCTTTAGAAGCACTTTGTCTCTTTTATTCCTTTGCATTCAGAGTTCCCTTCTCCTTCTTTTTGCATTAAACTGAAGCTTAATAAAGACCTTTTTCTCTTTTACACTGCCTTCTGTCATTCACTGCAATCTGCTCTTCATCACTTTGCAGCTGTTTCTGCATTTTTCTCACTATGAAGCTAACAATTTTACAGTTACCTGACAAACAGTTATATTATATATTTCCTGCTGCTTTTCATTACAGAGAACTTATCACACGCAAAAGAAGAAAACATAGGAATGCACCAAGTCCTGGACCAAACACTGCAGGAGCTCAATAGCTTGTAAAATGCCAAGAAGAACATCAAATAAGTAAAAAAACAAAAACAAACAACAACTTTGTAAAAGATATTTTCTACATGCCATCCATTTTTTTTATTTTATATTTTTTTTGCAATTTCACTCTTAATTTGTAAAACACATGTAGCTCTTTTATGTATTTATGGTCCTTTTTGTTCCTTTTCCTTTTTAAAAAAAAATGGTTTTGGGTCCACATGATTTCAGTATTGGTGCTAGGAATTGTGTTGTAGACCAAACTCTGTGCACAAATAAAACTGATGATGACGACGGTGTTAATGCTGCTGCTGATGTTTTGTGTCATGTCCACGAGCCAGTTTCAACACACATCTATAAACCGTTCCAGGGAAAAGAGCTCACCCTTCAGTTTACATGTGCTGACATGCACACTGTCCTCTCTGTGCTAAGACAGCAGCTTTTTTTTTTTTGCAGATACTGAATCTCTTCTTTCACAACAGTAGTGCCACTGAGTGCTATAATCAAGAAATGGCACAACCGCATGAGGTTAATACTAAAGATGTTATCAGAGTATAAGTGCGTCCTCAAACTTCTTATCGAGCTTCTTGTGACTGTGAGCTTTAAAATAAACAGTTCCAGTTGCTTTATGCTGTACAGTAAAGATAATTACTGAGCAATAAGTGAAAAGTTAAAGACTACGTCCTCAACATTAAACCTCAACATTATGCAACAATTACTCACTATTAGAAACACGATCCAACTCTGCATCAACACTTATTGGCTTCAGCACAAAGTGTTGCAAAATCGTGTGAGTCTTGTTAACAGACCATGACAGAGGCCAGGCAGTAAAGAAGGCTGTGTGATCTGATGGAAAGTTTTGGAAACAACGGTTTTCGAGACGCTTCAAAATGCATTAACACAAAAAAGAAAAGTCCTACAATTCAGTTAGATTAAAAAAAGAAAAAAAAACCCTTCACAACAAAAAGATTAGTGTTCACTATCAATCAATCAAATCCTTATTTCAAACACATCAAGTGTTTTAAATACACATTAAAACAAATGAAAATGAACTCAAATAAAACCAATTTTTTTGAATTGACCACTTCCCATTCAAAAAAGGAGTAGGAGGAAGCAAATACTTATTAATTCCTACCACTATAGCTCATTACTTATCTGTTTTAATCATATAGTCTAATGTATACATATATGTTACAAATAAATATACCTATCTAATACACAGTCCCTCGTTACATGTATATATATATCTTTATAAATGGATCTATAATTCTTTTTACTACACCTATCAAAAAAATTATATGTCATTGAATACAATTAGACCTTCTTAATGTACAATATAATATTTAACACCACTATGCATTAATGTTATTAATATAAAAATAAGGCTCCTTAAGACATGGATGCACAAAAACACTTTTTCTCTCTCCTGGTTATTAAACTAAACCACAATTCCTGGCTTATGCTATACGCCTATACCGTCTAAATAAACATGTTCACACAGAAACAGATGAATATGACTGTTCACTCAACTCGCTTTTAAATGCAACTTTTACTTTAAACAGCTATTAAAAAAAGATAAACCAGGTAAAATAATTATTGTTGTTTTGTAATCATTTAGTTGTTTTGCCTTTCATCTTTACAGTTTCCTTTTTCACGTTTACTCTACTTTCCAACCTCATTAGAAGTCCTAATTGACCCTTTTTTAGGCTGTGGTAATTTGCATTTCATTTTTTTTCTTTTGTTGAATTGTAATTCAAATGGAAGTTGCTTTTTTAATTAATAAACACAAATTTCCCTTGATTTCCAAGTATACCGAAATGTAAGAAACAATGTAATCCTGTAGTAGTAGTATTAATGTCAGTAAATGCTTTGAGTTGAAGCTGACAGCAACTCAAATAACCACTCATTGCAACCAAGGTATGCAGAGTAGCACCAGACATCAAGTCTTGAAGCAGATGGGCTACAGCAGCATAGGAGCACAACAGGTGCCTCTCCTGTCAGCTGAGGATGGGAAACTGAGGATACAGTTTACACAGGCTCACCAAAACTGGACAACAGACAACTGGGAAAGTATTGCCTGGCATTGTTTGAATGCCAACCCTGCCTGTCTAGGTTGCTGGTGTTGCTGTCCATGTCCATCCATTAATGCCGTGTCAATCCCTTAATTTGTGTACCCAGCTGGATAATACATCATGTCACAAAGCTCAGATCATCCCAAACTGTTTTTTTTTTTTTTGATATGACAATAAGTTCACTGTATTCAAATGGCCTCCACAGTCCTCAGCTCTTAATCTGGGTAGAGCAATTTGGGTTGTAGTGGAACCCAAAGATGGAGATTCACGTCATGAACCTGTAGCTGACAAATCTGCAGCAACTTTGTGAATTTGAACCAAAATCTCTGGGGAATGTTTGGAGCACATTGCTAAATCTATGCCGTGAAGAATGAAAGCAATTCAAAAAGCAAAAAAGAAACCCAAACTGGTCCTAGCAAGGTGTACATAATAAAATGGCAAGAACAAAACTTTATATTGAATTAAGGCAATAGTTATACAGTAGAGTAACAAGTACAGTAGATTAAAAAAAAAAGCATAAAGTAGCACAGGTTAAATAAGTCACAATTATAACCTGGTCTACCTTAAGTAAGCCAACAATCTAAAAGCCTCACGGTCACAGTCTGAAACGCTGTTGAATTCCGGGCCAGCAGGGGGCGTCATTCCAGCTCATTTACATTGCTTCTTTGCCGGGCGGGATTTCCGCAATAATATCAAGTATGGCGAAAACATACGACTATTTGTTTAAATTACTGTTAATCGGAGACTCTGGTGTCGGGAAGACCTGCGTCCTGTTCAGGTTTTCGGAAGACGCCTTCAATTCAACGTTTATCTCAACTATAGGTGAGTATTTGGGGGAAACAAAAACCGAGCCATTCTCTGTTTACAGTACGTCAATGGGCTTCCTCGGTGAGGCCGTCTACTTGCTGGATTTCAGCAGAAGGAACTAGTTTCTCTTTTACATTGATATAGGCAGAATGTGTATTTGCTAAAGTAGCAGCAGTACGATTGACTAGTTAATTCAGTGTAGTGAAGTGAAGCACTGATAACCTTTGTTTGTACGTGTGGCGCATGTTTAAGCAGAAATGTTTTGTTGTATAATAACCTGATGCCGGGTTGCTAACCAAGACGGTTAGCCGAGTGGCACATTAGCCGTTTGGCTCCGTCTACATTCTCGGAAGACATACGAAACACGGATATTTGGTGTAATGGTTGTTTATGATCATATTCCTGTAGCTTATTAGCAGCCCGTAGGTGTTATTTTTCTTGCTGAAAAAGTAGACTTAGCCAATGTTGACAGCTAGAGCCGAGCTACTAAGCTATCGTTATGATTTGACATTCATGTTGGGTTTTTATTTTAATCGCAGGCATTGATTTCAAGATTAGGACAATAGAGCTTGACGGCAAGAAGATAAAGTTACAAATATGGTAAGTTTAATGCTGGACATGTGACATAATTTTGCCGACAATGTTTTGTATTTGTCATTGTTTTAATTTAGTTTTAATACACATTTAGTGTTGGTTGATTTTTTTTCCAAATAATTATTTTCAGTATTTTACACTATGTATATACACTTTACAAGCTCTAGTTTAATACTTGAGTTCACTGCTTATGTGCTTCTTATACATTATCAGTGATAAGAATCACAGATGTAATCATTTTTAAAATTAATGTGTTTTAACCACTACCACTTTTTCCATGAGTGGACATTACATTGCATGGTTTGCAATGGATAATATGCCTCCACCTCACCCTATCTCTAGCATCCTCATTTTCTGTTACACCAAACCCCTTTTATGACCTTCACTAGATCCATTAATCTTCTCTGAGGTCTTCCTCTTTTCCTCCTGACTAACAGCTCTATATTTAACATGCTTTGCCCAATTTCAACTATTCCTCCAGTGCACATGGCCAAACCGTTTCCTTTTTGTCTTTGTAATAGTGTGTTCTAGTTAAAGTTGGCAGATGGAATTTACATCTGAACTGTTCCCTCAAGTCAGATTTTGAGCTCGGAAAGTTGGAGGAGCCTCAGAAAAACCAGGCTTAACAATTCAAGATGGCAACCATGAACCGTAGTAAAATTGTAATACTCATACTCTGCACCACCACTGTTGTGTATTTGTGACTCGCTAAATTAGAACACTGACCAGGTTGTATCCATGAACCTGCTACAGCAGCAGCTCTACTTTGATAAGTAGCTAAACAAATCCTGTTGTTGCTCCAACTTGACTACTGGAGCATGCTCAGCTCAGGATTTACATCTCTCTTGATGCAAATGAAGTGCAGCATAACTTTGTCTCTAAACCGCTCAAATCTGAGCTGTCTCTCTGATGTAGTCATTTATAAACCTGTTCCTCAAGATCACTTTCAGCTCTGCCACCTCCAGCTTTGCCTCCTGTGTTTTTGCTAGTGACATCATCCTCAAACCATTGTTCTTGTATAAACTTTCCCTTTCACTAATGCCACTATGCTTCTGTTACAAATCACCCCAACACTCATCTCCACCCACTCCACCTTGCCTAAACGCTCGTCTTCATCTCGCTCATAAACTGTCCAGTGTTTTGGATGGTTCACCCCAGGTGTTTCAACTTATCCAGCTTTACTACCTCTGCTCTTCACTGTTATGTTATGTCCTCCTCTCATTCACACATGTATTCTATCTTGCTTCAGTGACTTGCAATCCTTTTCTCTTCACTGCATACCTCCACCTTTCCAAGTTCTCTTTGGCTTCCTCCCAACTCTCACTACAGATCACAGTGTTGTCTGTGAACATTGTAGTCTACAGAGACTTCAGATAGGAGTGTATGTAGAATAAAAGAAATACATTTTAATGTCATTTACACAAAAAATAAAGCCACATAACTTCCAGACTTTAATAAAGAGGGCTAAAGTCAGTTATTAGCAGACCACCTGTTAGGCTTTTTACTTCAATGTAGTGCCATATTTGGCTTCTACCGTTAATGTTACCTGGCTAGCTAGGAGTACCCAATTGTAATCCTAGCTAGCATAATTTAAATTTGACAATTATTGTAAGGTTGCAGATATTAGTATTATAGCTTGTTTATGTTGAAGAAAGTTTTGTGTGCCGAGATGTTTTCCTTGAATTTATTATTTGTTACATTAATGCACTGTTGCAGACTTAATACAGTTACCCACAAGCACTACACGGTAGTAATATACTGTATGCTGGTGTTTTACTCCTGTACCAATGAAGAGGTATTTAAAAAGCCCGTTACATGTATGTTGGATGTGTTTATACACTGCCAGCTCTATATCAGCCTGTTCAACTAGCAAGTTTAAGATAACTGTTTCATCAGTTTTAATATACATTTAGTGTATTAGCTGTCATGCTTGATATTAGTTAGAAATTTGTGTTAACTTTTCTAATAATTTCCACAAACATTCAATTTGATATTTTGTCCTTAAGCTTTCAGATAACTAATGATGTTTTTTCTTTAGGGATACAGCTGGTCAGGAACGCTTCCGAACAATCACAACAGCCTACTACAGAGGTGCAATGGTGGGTGTCTTCACATGCTGACAGACAGATGTGATTTACATCCTCTTTCCTGTTGAAGGTGCAGCTTCACCTGCATTTATTTATGATTGTACTGCTCTTTACAGGGCATCATGCTCGTCTACGACATCACAAACGAAAAATCCTTTGAAAATATCAAGAACTGGATAAGGAATATAGAAGAGGTACATTCTGGTCCAAATATAAACTCATCCACTTATGTTCTACCCATCAAAAGTCTGTTTGGTATCATGTACCGTTTTAAAATTCAAACTCTTCTAATCCAGCATGCGTCAGCGGACGTTGAGAAGATGGTCCTTGGCAACAAATGTGACATCAATGACAAACGGCAGGTGTCCAAAGAGATGGGGGAAAAGGTGAGAAGCTTGACAGATGCATGGTCTCACATAATCTTCTCCAAAGAGTTATTTTCATGTAGTCACACAGTGAGCTCTCCCTGTGGGGAGGAATGGTTGGCTGTTCTTGCAGTTTCAGGTTCACCAGCACAAACACACAGTGAAACTGAGAGGAGAGAAGAGAAACTAGTGTTTCTGCCACTGTAGTTTAAAATCAGTCCAACAGAAAGACATGTTATCATTCTGTTTTCTCGCGTCTGTGTGCATTCACATCTGGGATATCCATGATTTTACAAAAGTGTTTCTTCCTTGTTTTTATTATTGCCTGGTTGGATTTAATGCACTTTTACTACCTGTAGGTGGCAGTAAAACATCGGCTAGGTTTTAAACGACAGGGTGCACTACCAAGTACCATGTGCCAGACTGAGGTTATATGTCGCTGTAATATGCAAAGCCAATCATTATTACAGCCATCAAAGGGTCTTTTATGGATTAAATGCATATAACAAATGGAAACGAGGTAAAGCTAGCATGGTGAAAAGTCTGACATAGCTGTTTATAGTCATTTAAAAGCAGTTTCCAACTATTGGAAAATAGGCGACTTGTTCCTAGTTAATGTTAAATAGCGTGCTTGCTTGAAATGCCCATCCTTAATACACATGCATCTGAGTTAGTGTTGGTTACATGCAGGGGTTACTGTAAGTACATTTTATATAAATTTACTTCATTGATGGAAACCAACAAGTAGCTGGTGATACTCTGTGTCATTTCCACCTAGATCATCAGTCGAGGGGGAATCTTAGTCATTATTGCAATGTTAAAGTAATATGCTTTGAATAAAAGTGTCAGCAGAATTTTTTTAAAGCTTTATTTATTTGTTTATTTATTTCAGCTTGCACTAGAGTATGGAATAAAGTTCATGGAGACCAGCGCAAAGTCCAACATCAACGTGGAAAATGTAAGCACTTTGTCAGCTAGAACACATGGCACAGTTAATTTGATACGTCATGTAAACATTCAGTTCAGTTTTATTTATATGGCGCTAAATCACAACAGTATTTGCCTCCAGAAAAACCCCAAAACATGTCACCTGCTTGTGTCTAATATTGATGTCATCTTTCGTGGTTAGAAAGCGAAGCTCCCATATGCACAAAATTAAGAACCTTGTTGGTGATAACTGGACTTTTCGTCCCAAAGCCAGTTGCGCCAAATGGCTGCCCCTCGCTGACCTGTTTCTGCTGGAGGTTTCTTCCTGTTAGAAGGGAGTTTTTCCTTCCCACTGTTACCAAGTGCTTGCTCAAAAGAGGTCGTTTGATTTTTTTGGGGGTTTCTCTCTATTATTTTTGTGTCTTCACCCTATAATATAAGCACCTTGAGGCGACTGTTGTTGTTACTGTTTGGCACTATATAAATAAAATTGAATCTAATTGAACCATGTGACTATTAGGTCCAGCTGCATTAAATTCTTGAGTTGAATTTACGGTAGATGAAGATTAGAATTTTGAAAGCATGCTTTTCTGTTTCACAGGCGTTTTTGATGCTGGCCAGAGACATCAAATCAAAAATGGACACAAAATTGGTAAGGATAAAACTGTGAGGAAAATGATCAGCAGCTCTTGTGGCTCTCTTTATGGAATGTTTTTGCGTTTTTCCAGCTTGTGGAAAACTGTGCAGCAGATGACAGTGTTTTGACTTGTCTTTTGTTTTTCTTTGTTGTTTTTGCTGCAGGAGGGCAACACACCGCAAGGAAGCAGTCAGGGCGTAAAGATCTCAGAGCCTCAGAAAAAGACCAGCTTCTTCCGCTGTAGCCTACTCTGAGGACTGAGGCCTTTCATACTGACTGGACATAAATAGACTGTTCTTGCTCTTAGCACTTCCTCCCCCTTTCTCTCCAGCTATGGTCAGTCCTAAAAGCCCACGTAAGCCATTATATTGTCAGTAAATGGAGGACTTCCCCTCCTTGCTTCCTCTTCTGAAAGCTTCCAGAGTTTCATCTTTTCCATTTTAAGGATAAATGTTGACTTCATGAGTCATGGTGCTCTGCTGGTTGGAGGACTCAGCCAGGAGCATTATCCAGATGTTCCATTTAACACAAAGGAATGGGCTCTTACTCCAGAGTTAGTCTCTTCATTATCCTCACTCACTCATTCACACAACCGGTAGCAGAACAAGGGATGAGAAGTCATTAATAGTTTGTGGACTGGATTACAAATGTGATATATTTAGATCTATTTTTAATAGCACTCTTTCCCTTTTTTTATGTGACAAATTTCAACCAGAGGCCGATGAGCTTGAAATGCTGTGAAACAGAGCTGTACAGGTTTCCTTTTCACTGTCAGTCAAGGATCAGACAGAATGAGCTGAGAGCACTGCTCTTGTTGTCCTTGACAATTATTTTTTTTGTGACAGAAAATGATTACTCCACCATTGGTGCATTCTCCTCCTTTCAGTGAGTGATGAAGAGGAATATATTATCTTAAACTACAGTTTAGGTTTTTGTCATTCTAATGATGAAAATGCAAATACTCTGTTTAGGAACATTTCTTGATGTAGCAAATGACCAGTCTTAAATTTGTAATAATAGGATTACTGTAACAATGAGACCTTAATTTATAGTTTGAAACCACAGCCTGTTTGAAGCCACTAAAGATGTCCTAAAATAATCAGTTTATTGTCACATGAGGCAGAAAAGCAGCAATCTCATTTATTTGAGATGCTGCACTTATTGGTATTTATCTTGAAAAATGACTTTTTAAACGATTTATTATTGAAGTTTGTTTCTCTCCTTTGGTCTGTCGCCTCAGCTCTTCTTTAAAATAGATTGATGTCTGAATTTTTCCTGTCAGCTCTTAGTCGCAGTTAAGCTGAATGACGTCTCTGGTTGTTTGATGAGCAGTTAAAATCACTTGAAGTTTCACACTGTAAGCCCCTTCTGCCCCTTCCCTGCTGTCATGCAGCTCTCCTTGCACTTTACCAGTAAATTGTGGTTTGTGTGTAGTCTGTGCCAAGTGATAGTTTTGCAATACAGTACAGCTATAAATTTCTTTTGCTCCTTTTGAGTCTTGGTAATATAAAGGACATATATTACCAACATTTTACAACACCCAAAGGACTTGATCTCCTCTGGTAGTTCACAGCTAGCAGTCCACTGCCCTGTTATTAGTCCTCTTAAAAACGTTTCCTTCCTCAGACTGTGAGTTATTTCAGCATATATCTGCATGTAAAAGATAAGTCTTTCAGCCTCTCTTTTTTATACTACTGTGCTTGCCAACCCGTAGTTTAAAAGTAATATTTTATGAGTTTACATAGAGATGGCTTGAATTAAGCTAAAGATAGCCCTGTTTGGGGTATTCTGGATCCTTTTACAGGTTTGTTTTTTCCCATTGTGGACATTAGATCTGACAGCTAGGTGGCGCCAGAAGCACACGGTGCATCTTAGGTAACTGCCAAACTTCAAATATGAATCAGTATTTTATTAGAGACAGCTAATCTGGGGAGTGTGATGCAATTATGTACACTCCACCTGTGTTGAACTTAGATGTGGATTCTGAGTCTGTTTCCATTGTTTCTATGTTTATGTCAGTCTTAAAATCAAGTTCCTACATGCACAGTATTGAGGGACAATATGTTTCATGCACCTTTTGTAATATCAAATAATTTGGGACCTCATGAATACCATGGCCATTTGTCTTAACCACTAGTAATCTATTCTGTCATAGGTGAGCTATGCATTGTGAATCTCGGACCTGTGCGTGTGTGTAATGTACTTTTTTTTTCAGACATACCTACAGAGCTGTACGGTTGAATGTATGGGCTTTTTGTTATTTTTGTTTTGTGTCAGTCACTGAGCCAAAAAGAGAGGACACGCTCTGTTTATTTAAAGCTGCATTGGTGCATCAGTGCAGGTGAAACCTAGCACAGCGGGGTACTGTTGAGCGGGAAGAGAGCGGGTGTCGAACTGTGAAGACGGCACCGTTTTGTTCGAGCTTTAAGTCATAAACAGAAACATAGGGAGCAAACTTTTATGGGACTCGAGCTGTATAATTTTTTTCTGAAATATGATACTTCCTCTTTGATTTTGTTTTTAAGTCATATCTTTTGTTTTCTTGAAATGTTTCCCTTTTTACAGCCATATTTTATTCCATTAGTGTGAAGTACACAGGGACAATAATAGGAAAAATCAACAAAACATTGTAAATATCACTAAAAAGTAGGTCTGCTTAAATTGTACTGTACTTTCTAAACCCATATAAAATGTATCTACAATTTTGTAGATATGTGAACTTTTGATTTAATAAAATAAGGTTATAAAACTAACCTTGTGCGTTTCAATTCAGTGGCTTTATTGGCTGGATGTCACAGGAAACTATCAGTTTACCCACTGACTGCTTTCATGACAAATGGCTCTCCTATTATTGGCTCACTGGAATATTCTGGCGTGTTTATTGTTTATTGTCCAGTGTAACTGAACCCCTTTTGATACAAGACACAAATCCACTGTTGATAATCATAGCTAATGAGCCTTGTCTTGAGGGATTGGCCAAAGCCTCCACCTGATGAAAGATCTGCAGTCACAGCATGACTGTTGTTGTTTCTGTAAGAGAAAAACTGGACATGGACTCCTTAAAGAATGCCAGAACAATGATTTTGGTCATTTTATTTATTTTTACATTAAAAAAAATGATGAAGATGTGAAGATGGCAGGATTTCATTCTGAAGTATTTCCAGTCCATCCTTTGGGGCTATTCCAGGTAGCAAATGTAGAGAATTGCTTCATTTGCTTATATCCTTATATGAAAAGTGCTGTGAACAGAAAGCACTTCTCATTATGAAAGTCAGCAAAAGGACAATATTCTATATTAGAGTCAATAGTTATAACCAAATAACACATCTAGTCCTTGTTGATGGGTTTACATGTTATTGTAAATGTTTACTGCTGGTTTACCTGAGGAAGTCCGGAGCTCTAACGATCATGTGCTGAAAATCTTCGAGTGACAGACGGCCATCATTGTCCAGGTCGGCCTCATCGATCACCTTCTCGCACACCATCCTCACCTCGTCTTCTGTCAGCTCGTTACGAGTCAGCTTGTTCAGCGTCTTCTCCAGGTCTGACTTGCAGATGAAGTCATCGTTGTTGAAATCTTACAGAAAAAATAAATAAATAAAAAAATATCAACAGGTCAAATAATACATCAGTTAATTAATTATTCAACTTAAGCCTTTTTGTGTCTGTTGGCTGTAAATTGAACATGTTTTAGACTAATCTGGTTGGACAAAAGACAGTTTTTAATATATTGTTTTGGACAAATGTGGAACTAAAGCTAACAACTTTTTTTTTTCACCTTATATTTTGTTAATGTGGCTGAAATATTTAGTGTATGATTAATTTAATGAAGAAAAGCAGGCTGTTTTTTCTTATAATCCTTTTCATTATAGTGTAACTACGTCACCCTTGTTAGTCTGAATAAGGAATGAAAAGTTCTCGTGTGTAGTTTCACAAGTTGTCAGCTGTCTTTTTTTTTAAACCGAGGCTTTGACGAGCTGGTATATGATCCTAAACTTTCCATTCCCCATCTGCTGTGTTTACCGATCCATAACCCTTCAGGATGAATATATATTACTGCTGATGATTTCATCGTACATTTTTTGCACAATAATCAGTTCAGTTTTACTGACAAACCGCTTCTTTAAATGCTGCAAGTTTCAAGATGTGTTTAACGCCCACTCTTCTGTCTGGGATGTTGGAAACCAAACATCCCCTTTCACAACTCAAATCAGGTGCAGAAAATCCAGCGGTATATCTGCATGGCTCTAACATTAAATTTGCCCTTATTCTAACTAATAATGAGCTTAACTCAATGCTGTTTTCTGCAGTTTAACGTATAGCAATTTTGTTTCCATGATTGCCTTGTAAACAGTGCATTTAAGTTGAAATATCTCCTTATTTGGTGTAAAATGTTAACATTTAAATGTATTTTTTCAGCTTGCAGTGGCAGTAGGAAGGGTTATTCACATACTTTGTTATGTACCGTGTGTAGTAAAGTATGCACAGTATGATTTGTGAAACTGCAAAAATGTAAAAATTGGTTGGAATTAACATTGGTTTTAAAGAAAAAACAAAAACAATGACAAGCATCCTTGATTTATGAAGATTTTACCATAAATTTTGAAAGCATAGTAGGCCTTGAGGTCCCGTGGAGCCATCTCACTGAGGACAGAAAACATGTCCAAGAAGTCGTCCAGTGTCATGTTTCCCTCGCCATCCTCAGAGAAAACCTCAGCGATCCTCTGTCGAAACGGGTTGTCCTAAACAAACAGTCAAAGCATGAACACACAAATGTTCAGCACAACTAACTTCTGCCTGTTCGATGTGATGCAGTTTAGTCCTGTTCTAACAAAACTGTGCTGTTTGTGATTTTACTTCAGTTTTGTTTTTCTATTTGAAATCCAATAAAGTCATAAAATTATCTTTAGTAATAAAAACAGCTTGGAAAAAGTGGCAACCTCGGGCGTGACCCTGATCGTGACCGGCTCACTCTCCCTTTCTTGGGGCATGTCAGTGACCAGCTTGTTAACACACCTGTTTACCTTGCTGTCACTGAGTAAAGAGGCATATAATTGACCTATTTCCACCAAGTGTGTCCTCTGGGACCCACCAACATCCTTCAAGTTTAAAGGAGTCAGGTAACATATAACCGCTCGAAGAATTCTGTCGATTAATTGGTCATTAATTATGGATTGGGAACACAGGGAGAGAGCGCGGGTCTGCAGGGCGTGTGCGGACCAGTGCAGCGGGACTACCTTCAGCTCTGGCATGCTGCCAATCAGCTCATATGGTAACTTCACATCTGGGTGGTTGGTGTAGTCAAGAGGAACGAGCTGCGGTGCCAAATCCCGATAGCGGTAGAAGAGTCTAGGAAAGGTTTAAAAAATTTACTATCAATATTGAATTACAAGATATGTCCTATAATATGTAGAGTTACACTTTAAAGGGACAAGGAAAAGTTAGAAAGGAAAAGTTAAGTTAAGAACTTGCTTTTCAGCTACGGACACTATTTTGAAAACAGAAAACATTCAACTTATACACTTTCCAGCACAGTAAAAATAGCCTGTGATCTCAGTGGCAGTCTGCCCCACATCAAGACAGGTGTCCTGATAGTCTAGTTTAGAGTTACAGTATGGTATTGTGCAGAATAGAACAAAATTCAGCTCTGTCAAGCATGCTACATAAGCAATGACTCAGGAAATTAATGAGATCTGACACAACTTATCCTGAGTCCATGTTTAGTTTGATCTTTTCTGCACTGGAGGGATGTCATAAAGCAGGAAGTATAAACAAAATAACTGAAGTAATGTAGGCTCACCTCAGAATTTCCTTTCTTGTGAAATATGTACAGTCCTGTAAATGCAATTTAAATTCAATGTGAGCTGTTTGCATACAGTGATGTGTATAATCTTTACTCAGTAATAGCAATACATCAATAAAAGACACTTATTTTTACACAATTTTGGTAAAGTAGAGAAGTAAACATGCAGTTTTTGGAAACAAATTATGAATTGCTTACAAAACAGGCAAAATGATCTCTGTCTGTCTATTACGATTATTATTATCATGTATCAGCATGTTGTGGTGATGTTGCGGTGGATCAAAGCAGTGAAATTTAATACTTTTTTTTAAATGGCAATTATTTTTGTGTAAATATTAATGTTTCTCCAACATTTCTCCATTAAATTAGCACCAAAAATCAAATGAAAAACTTTATTTATAAATACCTTACTTGCCACTTACCATTTATTTACCATATGACATCTCTAACTTTGCACCTCAAATTACTTCTGAGAGTTTTCTTTTCATCAAAATGATGCAAGTCAAAAGCAAATCCAGTCATCACACAATATCAGGAAAACACTGACTCTGAATGTCAGGAAGTGCTGCACCACATGGGACTGGATCCCTTTCTTTTTTGCTAATAAAAAGTATGAAGAGGTCTGATTAATCTTGTTCGTAGATGTTAAGCTAATACTGATAATGGTAGCTCCATTCATTCTGAGTGAGCCTTATCAATTAATTGATAAAGAAACATGAGTGATACCAACCTGATAGGCATCTAGCTGCTGTGCCGTAAAGATGGTTTGTTTATTTCCCATGTCTGAGTGCAGAAACACAGAGTCTCAGGTCCATCGCTGCTCCGGCATCAAGTCCTTTTTTAAAGTGGGTATGCTAGTTATGAAATACTCTGACAAAGGGAAGCCAGAGCCAAAGAGGAGATCAGGTGTCTGGCTGCACCGGGGCCCTTTGGTCCCCACTATAATGGAGGCATTTCATCGTTTTCTCCGTTGTGAATAGAAACCCCTTTGACAGTGAATAAGGGCTGTCGTCCAGCATCATGCCAAGTGGTATCAACCCCCTTTGGTGGCACACTATGGCCAACGCCTTGTTCGCCACTCAGGTTACACTCTTTAGAGACAGGGTTTTGTAGTGGGCAAATAGAGTTTTTGATGTGAGACAAGTTTTGTTTCAGTTGAGAACTTAATTGTTGTGTGTGTATATCTATCTATCTATCTATCTATCTATCTATCTATCTATCTATCTATCTATCTATCTATCTATCTATCTATCTATCTATCTATCTATCTATC